AGGGACAGTGCCCAGGCCCAGAGTTCAGGCCCCATGACCGGCAACCCCCCCTCCCCCCCAAAAATCAGCCTCTTGAGTAGCTAGGATTATAGGCATGAGCCACCAATAACTGGATTTTTAAAAATATGTATATATATATCTACATATATATTTTTTTATTGTGAAAATACAGAGGGGTTACAGTTACATGAGCAAGGTAATGAGTACATTTCTTATCAAGCGTTATTGCCTCCTCAACTTTGTTTCCCCTTCCCATCCCTTCCCTCCCACCTCCTTCCACCCCCCGCCCCAATACCTGGGTTTTCTTTACTTTTAAAAGAGGCAAACTGAGTAATACCCTGAATAATATATGAATCTAGGGGTAGCTTCTATGCTAAAGCTTATTTTATAGAAGCTTTTTTATTCTCCTCAAATTTTTCACTGGTACTTTTTTTTTGCATACTGTATTTAGGATTACTATATAATTTATTCTTAGAACCAGGATACTTTGAAATGCTGATCATTTTGGAGATGGAGTCTTACAGACTCTTCTGCCTGGGGTGACTTTCAACCAAGACCTCTAAGACTCCAGCCTCCATCCATCTGAGAAGCTAGGGATTACAAACATGAACCATGGGGGCCTGTCTTGCTTTTATTATTTTGAGATAGGGTCTCACTTTATGGAGACTAAACCGTATTATTTATACTTCCTTCACGGCTGGGATGATAGAAGCCTGCCTCTGCACCATCTTATCTATTGAACTTTTCCCTTTAAATTGCATCTCCTGATGGCTAGGGATTATAAGCATGAGCCACCACACCTAGCTGGGTATTAATAATGATGTCTGGAAAACACAAATCAAAATTGTTCCAGGCAAATTGAGCTATATGGCCACTTACAGTTTAAGTTTTGTGTAGGTAAGCTTTTTTTTTTTTTTAAAATCACAATGAGTAATTTTGCTTTAAGGATTAGTGCCAAGTAGTACTATAGTGGTAAAAAGGCCCTGCCTGGGCAGGGTGACCCAGGAACGTTTGTCACATTCTGAGGCTTCCTGTTCTGTGCAACCTGCTGTCAGTGAGCTGATTCTCACTTCCCAAACACCACGCTGCAGTCTGAGCTGTCATTTCCCAACAGAGAAATGAACAACTGCTCCTGCTCCAGAACGGACTTTTCACTATGTTATGGCTTAATTGTAGGTGGCCACTTTGGGACATGGATTACCAAAACCTCAAACTTAAATTTGGTTGTTATGTTGCTCAATTACAAGGTAAAAAGCAGAAATCTCTTCCAAAACATTCGTTCTTCCCACTGCTCACATTGAAACTCCTGTGAACGGGAATGTGGCCTTTACTAAATGGGCAGCAGTTAGGATAATAGCTGTTGTTTGTCCCAGAAGTGGGAGTGGTGGCAACCCCTCTGCCATCAGAAAGGAGGTTGCTGAGGGAGGTTCTGGACCTTGGCAGATAACCTAGTTACACAGTGGCCTGGCCTTGCAGGGAGTGGAAACCAAGCTCACAATGGACACTGCTGCAGAAGGGGGCTTATAGAGGAAGGGCTCTTCCCAGTACCTCAGTGAAGCAAGTCACTTGCAGAGAGTTGTATTTCAGGAGCTTGTTTTCTTTACAGCAGGCAAGTCAATCAGGCTGTGGACTTACTCAAAACTGGGCCAGCAGAATAAAACACATGAAAAAACTGTGAAACCAAGAAAATACATTTTTTTTTTTTTACAAACAGCTTCCAGGTATAATTAATTTTAAAAAAGCAAGCAAGTTTATCTTTAAAAAAATCAACTATTACATCAATAGCCTATCTCTAGTTACCTCTGAAGAAACATTTGTCTTTGTTTACAAATATAGCAGCAGGTAAGAAAACCTAACCCTTTAGATTGTTCATAGTACAAACAAATGTATATCTCTCATCACATTTTAGGCAGTTTTAACTTAAAAGGCATAGACAATGTTATACATTAAAATTTTCATTATTAAGTAAATGGAAATGCATAATTTCAAGGAAAAAAATTCCAGAGCACCTGAGTCTGGTTTATTGAATGGTAACACATCTATGTTTATCAGGGCCAGGCAGCCAAGGTGCCTTTGTCTAGGGGAAGAGGAAAAACATCCTATTATTTACATACTAGAATAGTCATACTGCTCAAACTACATCTTAGTGATGTTTAATTAAAAAAAAAAAAAAGCACATCACACTTTGACCTCCAAATGCCCCAGGACTGGTCAAGTCACTATCCGCAAACACTCCCATCTAGGTAGCTAATCATGGATGTATTAACACACTCTGTTAAGGTCATCCTTGGACTCTGAGCTTCTCAAGGACAGGAATTGGCTTTCATCTCTTATCTGACCACTGGGCCTTAGACCTGCGTTGAACAGTCCTCAGTTCTGCAAACTTCTGGTTATAGAAGTTTGCAGAATATTTGAATAGTGATTACATTATTGGCAATTTTTGTTTTCCTTGGTAGAACTCTGAAAATAAACACAATAGTGTCTGTCTTCAATATTGCTTTACTAAAACTGGTCTTCCCTGCAAGCCACATACTTTCTAAGCAGTTTATCAGCGGGATGCATCTCAGTTTAGATTTATGCTTTTCAAGTACCTGCCACACTTGAAGGTCTGTGCTTAACTATTTGGGAGGCAATATACACCATGGTAAACAACTTCTAGAAAAGACTTGATTGTACTAAGACCCCAAATTCACCTCATTTTCTTTGCCCTTTGGGTAACTAGAAATGTGTATCTATATCTGAACAATCAACATGGTACTTTACATATAATATGGCTGTGGCTTCAGAGCTGTGAAGTAGCACACAAACGCAACTGTGGTTAGAACAGCAAAGCCTCCTTTAAGGAGCACTGATTCCTGAGCACTGTATAAATGAGGGCCTAAAGAACCTTTTTAAGGTTTCCATAGTGATATTTGGGCTCAACAGTTCAAAACCTACATGATTCCAAGTCCAGTAACACTGTTCTTGAATACATTCTAGCTATCTCATATCTAAAATCTCTTGTCTAAAGCCTGCTCTTCAGCATACTCCATCATTTAAACTCCCTTAACCATGTACCCTTGCTAATAAGCAGTCTCTTCCATAGACCAAGCTTAGCCCAGCATTTTTTTGTTTCTGTTTTGTCTGTTGTGGGGCTTGAACTCTTGGGCCTGGGTGCTGTCCCTGAACTCTTCAGCTTAAGGCAAGAGCTCTACTACTTGAGCCACAGCCCATTTCCATTTTCCTGGTGGCTAATTGGAGTCTCATGGACTTTCCTGCTCGGGCTGGCTTTGAACTGTGATCCTCAGATCTCAGCCTCCTGAGTAGCTAGGATTACAGGCATGAGCTACCAGCATCCAGCCCAGTCTGACTTTCTAAAAGCAATACCACTTCATTCCCTAAGTGAAAAAAAACAAAAACAAAAAAACTCCACCACCAAGAAACACAACAAAACCAAAACCCCAAACCATTTCTTATCTGATGTTCTCCCATTCGTTCACTGAAACTCTATCCTGAACCTAAAAATACTTTTTGGGGCTGGGAATGTGGCCTAGCATGCATGAAGCTCTGGGCGATTCCTTAGTTATCACCTAAACAGAAAAAGCCAGAAGTGGCTCAAGTGGTAGAGCATAGATTAGGGCAAATGACATTCAGGGACAGGGCCCAGGCTTTGAGTTAGCCCATCATTCCCACAGAAATGGAGACTTTCCCATCTCACCCCAAGGCAACTACGGAAGAATGCTCTGTACAGGAAGAATAACACCAATTCTAGTATCCCATTCTTAGTTCAAAAAGGAAGACTTCCGGGGGCTGGGAAGGTGGCTCAGTGGTAGAGCGCTTGCCTTGCATGCTCGAGGTCCTGGGTTCGATTCCTCAGCACCATATAAGCAAAAAGAAAAAAGCCGGAAGTGGCGCTGTGGCTCAAGAGGTACAACACTAGCCTTGAGCTGAAGAGCTGAGGGACAGCGCCCAGGCTCAGAGTTCAGGCCCCACGACCGGACCCAAAAAATAAATAAATAAAAGAACTTTAAAAAAAAAAAAAGGAAGACTTCCCAGATACAAGTCTTGAAGTCTTACAAGTTAGGTGGCAGTAGCATCCAGAGCATGGTGGGCAGACCGATCATGGGTAGTCACCTCACACACTTGGGCGTCATCTCAGACCCTGGACTCATTATCCTTCAAATCCTCTTCAACGGACTCCACACTTGTTATCTCTTCTTTTGGTCAAACTATGTAGTTTTAAGTACTACAAGCAAAACTAGTTGTTGATCTGGAGGGACAGCCAAAATAACCAGATATCTTTGTGGCCATCTTACTCTTCCTATCCCTCATATACTTCCCATTAGCCGACATCTTGATATTGCCTGAAAATTAGATCATAGTTCACACAGCTTACTTGTAGACTTGAGGCTAGTTTGACAACAGGATACTAGGGTATTGTAGATAGCCGCTCCTATCTTGCAAAGATGTATAATAAAGACTATTGTTACAGCTGTTTAAGAGCAGTCCTGGAACACTTCCTAGTCTTAAAATACCTAAGCAAATTAAGTGTCTACCTTAGCCTATTCTGAAAGTTTGACTCTTAACATATACTTAAGGGAGATTTAAATAAAGGTTGAATATTACTTTCTAAAGTGACCACCTTGTTTTTTTGAAAAGGAGGTAGTTATTCAAAATCACCATTCAACTGGCAGCATTTAACATGTTTTTTTTAAAAAAATATATACATTTAACACACACACACACACACACACACACACACACATACACACGCAAGTCCTGGGGCTTGAACTGAGGGCCTGGGCACTGTCTCTGAGCTTTTTTTGCCCAAGGTTAGTGTTCTACTATTTGAGTCACAACTCTTACTTCTAGCTTTTTTGAGTAGCTAATTGAAGATTTGTGTTTCATGGACTTTTCCCCATGATCCTCAGATCTCAGTCACCCCAGTAGCTAGGATTACAGGTGTGATCCACTGGCACCCAGCAAATTTAATATTCTTGACACTTTACTTATACAAGAAATAAGCTACTGAATATTTTATTTCAAAGTAAAAACAGAACTCAAGCATAAAATTTGCATACCAGTCAGAGTAACTTCAGAATACATTTTAGAAACCCAATGAATACATTCAGAAGTCCAAAACATTTCTGATATAAATAAGATCAAGTCGATCCCAAACCTAAGTCTCTGATTTATAGGCAAGGTGTCAAAAGTTACCAGGATTGTTTTGGATGTTACAGATTGAGAATAGTCAACACCTAAGCAATACAGTAACATGGCTTTAAATTCAGTTGCAGAGATCTACAGCTTATCTTTTCAGTGTTAGAGCTAGAGAATAACTTTAAAAAAAAAAAGATGGTACTCAATTCCACTTATTCACTTGTCAACAAATACAGAACGGAACTGTTAGCCATTAACACAGACTTTGTAAACTATGCAGGAAACAAAGACATAGCTCTGAAAGCTACTTTTTTGATTCATGCTGCACAGAGCAGTCATATCGGCATGACTTAGTTCTCTCAATATAACTGCTCTGTTCTTACAATAGACCTCTACTGTGCCGGTTTTCCCTATAGGGAAGAGTCAAGGGATTTGCTGTCTGCAAAGAACTCTGAGTGGGTCAGGGGAGGAGGCTACAGGGAAAGGGCTGAGCAGAGCTGCCTCAGGTTTTATGGGTATAAAATTACAATGAAGCAACTGTTGCAATGAAACAATTCCCAGGGTTTATCTACTTTGGGGTTCAAAATAAAGGAGAGAATTATTTCTTTCCTTCATAAACCACTCTAAAGCAACAAAGGGATCATCGATTCTCTAATAATATAACTTACATAAACGTTGGCATAGATTTTAGAAAGTTAGGGCTAGAGGGGTACGCAGTGCTAGAGTGCTTGCCTAGCATGTGCAAAGGCCCTGGGTTCCACCTCAGCAACACAAAGTTTTCATAAATGGCAGACTTCAGTGCTATATAACCTGTGTGGCAAAAATAAAAGATCAGAAAATTTTACTCAAAGCTCAAGGATAAATATGAACATTGTTTGGCTAGTGAACTCAATATCTGACAACTAAAAAAAAAAAATCTATCCAAAACGTAATCATAAGAGGACCACATTTATTTATCCTATAGAGCAGCACATCAAGTAGAATTGTTTGTTTAGGTTATAGTGTGATTGTTTCCAATGTCACTTTGGGGTAAATGTGATTATAGAAAACTACTTGAAATAATTTGCCAACATAGTTGCAGATTCTCGCAGTAATCCATACGTAACGCCTTAAAATTGTAATGGTGCAGTTTCATGATTTAAACAAATCATATCAAAGAACTATTCCAAATACTTCAATCACTTTAACTTCCATGAAAACCAAGTTAAAAAAAAATCACATCTGAATGATTTGCTTCCGTTTTTATCCGAATGCATCCATTTGATGAACTACATATCCAAGTTCAAGAGGCAGGTATCTTCTGAGAGGTGCTAGAGTTGTTTCATGAGTGGCCTCTATCAGAGAAAGAGCAAATCCGATATATGCACTGGTGTACACATACACGTACTTCAACAAGCAAAGCATCATTTCTTCATCCACTGTTAACTTAATGGTAAGACTGGAACAGAAAACAGAAAAGTCAACTTTTGGATGTTGTAAGCGGAGCTTATTATTAATTCCTTGATGTGGGTTAAAATAATTAATTGCTTAATAAACTAAAATAACACATCTCAGTCACTGACATACATTTTGCAAAAAAGTATTTTTTAGAGAATATATCTAACAAGAAGTAAGCTGAAGAAATTTTGATTCATTAAATTCATTAAGATGTATATACTTTTTTTTTGGGGGGGGGGGGAGCTGGTACCATGGCTAGAACTCTTACTAGGCTTGCTTGTTTACAACCTGCACTCTACCACTTGAGCCATGACTCCAGAAAAATGTTAACTATTTTGTTGGTTAACTGGACAGAGTCTTACAGATTTTTCTGCTCAGGCTGGCTCTGAACCTCTGTGCTCTAGATTTCAACCTCCCAAGTAGCATGTATTTCAGGTATAAGCCAACAGCATATATCTAGATTTTTTTCTTTTAAAGCTGAGGTGGCTATTTAATGAATCTAGTTGGAGATCTAATTCATTATCTTAAGGTGTAAGAGTTATCAAACAGGGTGCTGGTGGCTCACACCTGTAATCCTAGCTACTCAGGTGGCTGAGATCTGAGCATTGTGGTTCAAGGCTTAGCCAGACCAGAAAAGTCTAAGATTTTTCTCTCCCTTTAACCATCCTAGAACACTGGAAGTGGTGCTATGGTTCAAGTGGTAGTGTGCTCGTCTTGAGTGAAAGAGCTCAGGACTGCACCCAGGCCCTGAATTCAAGCTTTACAACTGGAGGGGTTGGGTGGGGGGAAAGTTAACCAATTTCCTTTTTAAGGAGAATCCTGAGTGGATAATCATTTGGCTTACCTCACAGAAATAGGTTGTTTTTCTGTTCTGTTATATACTCAAGACAGGCTTCTCAACTAAAATGTCAATCTTATTCCAGTTTGGTTGGCAAGAAAGCATAAAGCATTACATGCAACTGACAATCAAGAATAGAGGTATAATCTTGGGTTCAATGCTGTTTTAAGAATCTGCCAAAACTTTGGCTGAGAAATATCAAAGAGAATTGCCTGGAAAATGGGCTATGTTTGCCACCAAACCAATGCCTTAAGTTTTCTAAAAATCCACCTCTTTAATCAAGCAAGACAGAGGTTGCTTTTACTCATCTATGCTTTGGAGTCATTTAATTAAAACACTGAGAGATGAGAGATACACAACAAATGAAAACATCCCACAATAAAACAGCCCAATGAAATGCATCACAGAGTTTGTCTCAAGATGCTACTGAAAACTCTGCTTACTATATTACAAAGTCTCTGAGGGTCTTCAGACACATTTTCTATCTCTAAGAAGGAACACTTCTGCTCAGCCATCCCTGAAGGCTTCACATTATTCCTTTTTCTTTGCTAGTCCTGGGACTTGAACTTAGGGCTGAAGCTTCTGTCCCTGAGCTTCTTTGGCTCAAGGCTAGCATCACTTTCAGCTTTTTCTGTTTATGTGGTACTGGGGAATTGAACTCAGGGCTTTATGCACGCTAGGCAAGCACTCTACCACTAAGCCACATTCCCAGCCCACATTTTTTACTTTACACATTCAAACACTTAAAAGTTTTAGATGCAGAGCTTGGGATAAAACCTAGGGCCTTGCCTTGCAAATGCCACTGAGTTACACCCCCAGTCCAAGTTTCAAAGGCTTGTTAATTTGCCACCCAGAATGGGGAGGAACAATTACCTAGCTGTGCTTACATGACTATTAGTACATGCGACACAGCAAACTCAACACTCACATGGGGAGCACCAGGCATTGGTGGAGCACCAGAAGGTCCTGAAGGCACTTGAAAAGGATTATTGGGAGTAGGATAGAGTCCTGGCGTGGGATATGACCCTGCAGGGGCAGGGTAAGGTGCTGGTGGTCCCCAGGCTCCCGGGGGCACAGTGCCCCATGGAACAGGTGGTGCTGCTCCTGGTGCTTGGGGAGGAGGAGTGGGATAGGGCCCTGGGGATGGGTATGGCATATTAGCAGTAGGATACTGCCCTCCCATTCCAGGTGGCCAAGGTCCAGAAGCCATGGATCCCCATGGACCTAGACCAGCTGCAGCTGGATCTGTGGGAGCACCATACGGTCTAGGTAGCTCTGGAAATGGCATATTTGGTGTAGGATATGGCCCTGTGGGGCCACCTGGCACAGCTGGAGCTGGATAAGGACCACCAGGTGGGGGTCCAGAAGGAGGAAAGGGTGCTGGGGGTCCTGGCGGTGGTCCAGCGGGAGGCACAGATGGATACATTCCTGTGGGTGCTGGTCCAAAAGGCACAGTGGACGGTGTTGCACTTGGGGGGAGTCCAGATGGCACAGATGGTGGAGCACTTGGGTTATTCCAAGGATTGGATCCTGGCCAGCCTTGTGGAGGTTGGCCAGGTTTTGTATTGCTCACAGCAGAGGTTTTGGCAGGTGAATGTTCAGGTAGTGCATCTGCCAACTGGAATACAAAATAGGTATGTCTTAGCTATCTCACCCAGGTACAAGGCAGACCAAGCATGAATATGAGTGGTTAGTATCAACTTTAGAGTGCCAATTCTTCAGAGGAGCTCAACTTTTCCCAAATACAACTAGTCATATTGTGCTGCCTTTCTGTGTTGTATTAACACAACAGGGAACAGTAATTAAGGAGACAGAATTTGAGTCAAGATCTGGATTCAAATCCTGGCTTTACTCCAAGTCACATACCTTCTCTGAAACTCCGCATTTTCAAAAGCAGTTTCAGGGTTAAGATTATTCTTAAAGGAGATAGTTTCTTTTCTTAGCCTTCTTATTTATTTGCTTTTTGTAGAGCTGAGGACAGAGCAGGGCCTTACACTTGCCAGGCCAAGCAAGTGCTTCCACTGAGCTAAATCCTCAACCCCTCACAAGACAGATACTTTGTGTAACACACTGGACATACTGCTTGGCATAAAATAACTTTCAGTGAATGCTGGGACTATTACTATATAAAAAAGAAAAGAACACAAAAATCTTCACTTAAGAATTCATGAACCTTTTAAACATGCTGCATCTGCGTAAATCAAAGCAAATCACAGGTCCCCCAAATCTACGCATCACACCAAAGTATTCTTTTCAAATTAAAATACTTAAGATGATCTACAGTTAGGGTACTTTTCTTAAAAGCCAAAAACCTTACCAAAGATAAATACATCAAACTTACCGAAAATTCATCAGACATTTTCCTAAAGAAAGAAAGAAAATTTCACAATCAGTGCTTACCACTTCTTTTACATATATAGATATATATTTCCTTTTTTTTTTTTTTTCTTCTTAGTATTGGGGTCTGTACTAAGGCCTTTACATGTAGTAGGTAGCATTCCAATGTCTGAGCCAAAACTCCAGCCCTTTTTGGTGGTTACTGTTAGATAGGGTGTTAGATAGCCCAAGGCTAGCCTTGACTGAAAAGTACATGTTACTACACCCAGATTTTTCTGTTGAGATGAGGTCTTAAGTTTTTTCCCATGCTAGTATTGATTCTAACTCATCTCTGGTCCTAAGCAGCTGATTACAGATGGGAGCCACTGATACAAGGTTTTATACTATCAGAGTAGAATCTACATTTATATCATCATCTTTTTTTTTGGCCAGTCCTGGGGCTTGAGTCTAGGTGCTGTCCTTGAGCCTCCATGTACGCAAGGTTACCAGGTAAGCCACAGAGCCACTTTCCAACTTTTTCTGAGTGGTTTGAGTTTTATGGACTTTTCTGCCTGGACTGGTTTTGAACTGTGATTTTCAGAGCTCAGCCTCCTGAATAGGATTTATAGGCACGAGCCACCAGCACCCAGCTTATATCACCTTTTTTAATAAAGGAAAAAATTCTTACTCAAGTGATCTTGAGTGATCAAGAGATCCCTGGAAAGATGACCTGCTGCAACCTTCAAGCAGTAGAGACTAAAGGCCCAGCTAACCTCTCAGAGCCACAATTTATACTGTGATTTTTGTGTCAGTTTAGATTTTTAAACAATGATATAGAACAATTATTGTTTATAACATTAGCATATAACATCAAGAAAAAGCACCAGAAGTAGTAGCAAGCACTCTACCACTGAGCCATCTTCCCAGCCCCCTCCATCCCCATAAGACTACCACATCTTGACTTGGGGGCTTTTAACGGTTAACTGGAGACAGAGTCTCAGGGATTTTTCTGCCTGGGATGGCTTTGAACAGTGATGCTCAGCTCTCAAGCTCCTGAATAGTAAGCTTACAGGTATGAGCCAATAGCATCCAGTTTGGAAGGTAAAATATTTCAATATCCTATTTATAGTTCAGTGAATTTATTGCCATCAATTTTACTAATTTTTATTTACTTATCAACTGTAGTATTGAGGATGGAACCCAGAGCCATACTAGACAATTTCAGGATGTACTTAAAATGTCAAATCTTATACCTAGTAAACATTTCAAGTTAAACTGAAGTATAATTAACTCTGGATATAAAACTGTTAAGTGTTGGGCTGGGAAGGTGGCTCAGTGGTAGAGTGCTTGCCTTGCATGCATGAGGCCCTGGGTTCAATTCCTCAGCACCACATAAGCAAAACAAAACAAAACAACAACAACAACAACAAAAAAACAACCAGAAGTGGCACTGTGGCTCAAGTGGTGGAGTGCTAGCCTTGAGCTGAAGAGCTCAGGGACAGCGTCCAGGCCCTGAGTTCAGGCCCACGACCGGACCCTCCCCCCCCAATAAAAAACAAAAAACACACACTCAGCAAACTTTAAGTGCTCCTGTGCCAACTGTATATGCCCTTGTAACCACCACCAAACAAAATACAGAACATATCCGTCACTCCAGAAAATCATGTTTATGTACCTGTGCCATCACTTTTTGGCTTATTTCTGCCTGGTTTGTTTGTCGGTAGTGGAACTTGAACTTGGCTTGGCACTGTCCCTGAGCTCTTCAGCTTAAGGCAACCACTCTACTACTTGAACCACAGCACCCACTTCTGGGTTTCTGGTGGTTAATTGGAGGTAATCATGGACTTTCTTGCCTGGGCTGACTTTGAACCACGATCCTCAGATCTCAGCCTCCTAAGTAGGTAGGTTACTGGCACCCAGTTTTCTGCCTGTTTTTTGACTTGGTCTTTTGTCCTTAATCATTTTACTAGTTAGTAAGACATCCTCATTTTTCTTCCTCACTGCTTTGTTAGCAAGCAAAAGAACACAATGTCATATACAAGGCAAAATTTCCTCCTAGGTTCTTTTTACTTTTTGTTATTTTTTGCCATCCTGGGGCTTGAACACTCAGGACCTGTGTACCATCCTTGAGCCTTTGTACTCAAGGCTAGTCCTCTACCACTTGAGCACGGCGCCACTTCCGGCTTTAGTAGTAGACAAAGAGTCTCATGGACTTTACTGCCCAGGCTGGCTTTGAACTATGGTCCTCAGATCTTACCTTCCTGAGTAGGTACAGGTATGAACAGGTATGAAGCACTGGAACACCACTCTGGAGTTCTTTATAATTACAGAGCTTTTTTTTTTTTTGGTCCCGTCGTCGGCCTGAACCCTAGGCCTGGGCGCTGTCCCTCAGCTCTTCAGCTCAAGGCTAGTGCTCTACCACTTGAGCCACAGCGCCACTTCTGGCTTTTTTTTTTTCTTTCTGCTTATGTGGTGCTGAGGAATTGAACCCAGGGCCTCATGCATGCAAGGCAAGCACTCTACCACAGAGCCACCTTTCCAGCCCCTTGAGAGCTATTTTTTTATGTAGCTCATTTATTTTCCTCTACATGTAACATCTGGATTTTGTGATTATATTTAGAAAGGGCCATTCCAAGATTTTGTTTTATTTTGGGTCCGGTCATGGGCCTGAATCTGAGCCTGGGCGCTGCCTCTCAGCTCTTCAGCTCAAAGTTAGCGCTCTACCCACGTGAGCCACAGGGCCACTTCTGGCTTTTTTTTTTTGGCTTATGGGTGCTGAGGAATCGAACCCAGGGCCTCAAGCATGCAAGGCAAGCGCTTTACCACTGAGCCACCTTCCCAGCCCCCACCACTCCAAGATTTTTTTAAAAAATTCTTTCTTATAATATATTCGTGGCTTCTTGCCTAATATCTTTCAATTCTACCAAGCAGTAATTACCAAATAATATAGCCTTTCCTCAACTAATTGAACAAATTCTCTTTAATACATTTTACTACAGTTACTGACAACTAGTATTTATTGAGAGTTTGGCATAGAACAGATGTGTTCCAGGGTTGGGAAGTGGCTCAATGGTAGAGCGCTTGCCTTGCATGCATGAGGCCCTTGGGTTCAATTCCTCAGCACCACATAAGCAAAAAGAAAAAAGCTGGAAGTGGCACTATGGCCCAAGTGGTAGAGCGTTAGCCTTGAGCTGAAAAGTTGAGGGACAGTGCCCAGGCCCAGAGTTCAGGCCCCACAACTGGACCCCCCCCCCAAAAAACAGATGTGTTCCAATGATACCAATTCTTTTATCACTTCTCTATCCCCAGTTAAAGCCAGGGAAAAGGGAGTCTAGCAAGTTAACTTAAGGTCTTAAGCTACTGATACGCAGAGTAGAGGTTCAAATCCATGTATAGTCAGGCTTCAGAGCCTAGTGCTTGACAAGCTGCAAGTGCTTGACAAGTTACTCCCACAGGTACACTGGACTCTTCTGCTCATCTGCACTGTAGCATCTTCGTATTTTAAAACAGATTTTATTGCCAACTAGCTTATACTTCTTTTCAACTTTTCCTAAACATTCTTGTTCACTTTTTTCCAGATTATTTTGTAAAAAATAAAACCTGCTGTTATTCTGGTTAGAAATGCATTAAGTTTACAGATCAATTTAGGAGACACAAATCTCATTTAAGAACAGGCATCTCTTTCTAGTTGCCATAGTTGTCATTTGGTTTGTTCACTTTTACCTTTTTGGGGTGTGATGGGGATCTCTCTATGTTCACCTAAGCTGGAATGTACTCATGCATTCAATCTTTCTACTCAAGATTCCTGAGTAGCTGGGCTTAAAGGTGTGTGCCCCTTACCTGCCTTAGATTTTCAAGTTAGACCTCTTATGCATTTCTTATGTTCTTTTGTTCAAGACTAGTGCACTTGAGCTACAGCTCCACTTCCAGCTTCTTCCTTTTTCTGGTAGTTTATTAGATATGTTTCACAGACTTTCATGCCCAGACTGGCTTCAAACCATGATTCTCAGGTTGCAGCCTCCCGTGTAACTAGGATTATAGGCATGAGCCATCAGTGCCTTGCTGGATTATATTATTCTTAAATGACAATTGATTCTTCTTTTTTTTTTGGTTGGTCATGGGGTTTGAACTCGGCCTGGGCACTGTCCCTGCGCTCTTCAGTTCAAGGCAAGCGCTCTACAGCTTGAGCCACAGTACCACTTCCAGTTTTCGAGTGGTTTATTGGAGATGAGAGTCTCACGGACTTTCCTGCCTGGGCTAGCTTTGAACCACAATTCTCAGATCTCAGCCTCCTGAGTAGCTAGGATTACAGGCGTGAGCCACCGACGCCCGGCGACAATTGATTCTTATTTCATTAAATTTACTTTCTCTTTCCAATATTTAGAGCTCTTTTCTCTTAAGCACGAGGTAGTTTTCAAACAATGAAATGTTTACTGGTGATAAGAACAGTGACCTTGCTCCCAATTCTCTTGAAAATGTTTCAAATGTTTAAGTATGATTCTCATTTTCGGTTTGAGGTTTTAACAAAACTATACAGAGAAAGCTTTTTTTTTTGGTCGATCGTGGGGCCTGAACTCTGGGCCTGGGCACTGTCCCTCAGCTCTTCAGCTCAAGGCTAGCACTCTACTACTTAAGCCACAGTACCACTTCCAGCCTTTTCTGCTTATGTGGTGCTGAGGAATCAAACCCAGGGCCTCATGCATGCAAGGCAAGCACTCTACCCCTAAGCCACCTTCCTAGCCCCACAGAGAAAGCTTTTATTTATTCTGTTACTAGATTTATTTATTCCTGTTCCACTACTTTAAAAAATTAGGCCAAACAATTTCTTCAGAAGATTGCTCAGTATCTAATGGGTTGATCTCATAATTTTTTTCCTTGAACTACCATATAATTATGAGTATACTTATACTGGATCATCCTTAAGATATTTATTTTATGTATCTGTTCTGGGGCTTGAACTTGGGGCTTGGGCTCTGTCCCTGAGCTTCTTTTTGCAAAAGACTAGTGCTGTACCACTTGGGCCACAGCTCCACATCCAGCCTTTTCTGAGTAGTTTATTGGCGTTATGAGTCTTAGGGACTTTTCTGCCCGGGCTGGCTTTGAACCACTACCCTCAGATCTCAGCCTCCCGAATAGCTAGGATTACAGGTGTAAGCCACCAGCACTTGTTAAAACCTTTAATTATACTGAGGAAAAACAAATGGAAAGAATATGAAGCTTAAGGCATACAGCTGTATCTTTGCTTTTTATTCAGAAGAATCAAAAATGCATCTTGAATGTACAGAAAATACAATCTACTTATTTAAGTAATAAGATTTGTTATACACTAGAGTACATAGCCAATTACTCTTAAGGACTAATGCTAGAAGAAACGATGAATGCATAATTAAGTTTAAAGTCTACATAAGACTGACAGGCTTTCTGAGTAGGGTGAGCTTTTCTGTAATGAAGTGCACATTAATTCTGGAGTAGAGACTAACAAAGTGACCCATTCAGTTTCATATGGTGTGGCTGTTCAGGTTTTCAGACTGCACTTTTCCAGGTAGTTTTTGAAAAACATATACACAATATTCTGTTAATATTAGTTAGAAAGTTTCATACAACAGATTATTCAACATACTGATTTACCCTCAACTAAAATTTTAAATTCAAAATCAAAGTACGGAAGATAGGACCAGAATCTTATGACGATACTATTGAAACCCAAACTAAAACCATTACAAAAAGTATACTTTGCTGTTCTATTATTGCCTTAGTAATTTGCTCTCCATGCTTAGGATAAACAGTGTTCATGTTAACTGGAAGCATTCCAATCTCTCTGGGATATACATTCATTTAAAAAAGGTAAACCATAAGGGTGGTTATACTGATTCAACCTGAACAAAGTTGCAGAATGTAAAAAGGTCTCAATTTTCTAAAAACCTGAATGATGCTAATTATTAAAAATGAGGATAATGTAACCTTGCACTTGTCAAAAGAGTTTCTAATTAAGCATGTTTTTATAGTGATGCTTGCCCACAATCCTAGTATGTGGGAAGCTGTTGTTATTTGGGAGAATGTGAGTTCAAGGTCAGCCTGGGCACACAGTGAGATTGTGTCTCAAAAATACTACAAAAGTTTTTTTTTTCTTTTTAGTATAATATTAACTCCAAAATTTTCCATTACTACTTCCTGACATATCTGAAAAATATTTTGTGAGGCAAGAATTCTGTAACAGAGTATAAAATTTCTTTTGTACTAGTAATGTATGTTATACTTCAGTAATTCCTATGGCTTTTAGAATAAAAATGACAATTCAATCACCAGAAGAAAGCTGAACTCAGTCCATTAGGATTTACAAGCAATACTTCAAAGGGTCACCCAATCGTGATTGATAAAGAAATGTTTGAGAGCATATATCCATGAAAGCTGAACATCAATCCTTTTGATAAAAGCAAACTCTAACAAGAGACCATTTTCCTATCAAAGGGCCCTAGTGACTTACTCCTTGGGAGGCTGAGACCAGCTAGATCAAGGTTCAAAGTTAGCCCAGGCAGGAACAGCCAAAGAGAGTCTACTTCCAATTAACTAGCAAAATGCTAGAGTGGAGATAAGGCTCAAGTGGTAGAGTGCCAACTATGAGCATATAAAGTTTAGGGAGAACAAGAGGCCCTGATTTCCAGCATGCCATGTGAGCACGTGCACACACACGCAGTCACACACACAATAATTCCTAGCTACCTCAAAGATAATTGAACAGTAACACAGCAATCTATGATGCACTAAAGAAATATATTAAGAGGAAACAGGATTTACACTAAGGGAAATCAAGATTTTTGTGTTGATTTTAGTATGGGACAGGCTGATGCTATTGCACTGAAGACAAATAATATTGGCTCATTTATCAGATTACATTTCATTAAAAAAAAAACTGGGCAACTGGAGGAACTGGGGTACAAAGTTTTTGAACACTTTCAACCCCCATAGTAGCTTTTACAATTTATTTAAATACTTATTGGACACCTGTGCTTTTGGAAGCTAGTAGCATAGCACAGACATTCTGGCGAAGTGGTGCCTCTGCAATCTAGAGGGGAAATAAAGGAGTAGAATGTTATACAGGCTCTAGGGTTAAGTTTGTGGAAAATCTGTGGGGACTCATGGGCAGTTCAGATTGGCTGGAACAAAGCAAAGAAAAAAGAAAGCAACATGAAAGTTTTAGAAGTGAAACCTTAGACAAGAATTTGAATCCATTCACTTAGCCAGCTTATCTCAGGGCCACTTCAGTTTCTTCACCTGTATAGAATGGGTCAGTAATAATGTATGGAGACTAAATGGTTGTATACTAAAAGTACCTACAACAGTGTAGGCAACAAGTATCAAATTTTCTTATCTTCCTTTGCATATGTATATGCATATAGTATAAATTTAAAGAGTGGCTGCCTAATTAAAACTGCAGCTCTTCACAGGCTGGCTGGATTCTGGACAAGTCCAATTCTCCAAACCTCAAAGGTGCAGGTAGAAGAGGCTCCACCTCACAGACTGCTGAGACAGAAACAAATCTCTTAGTCACTGGCTGGCAAAGAGCAAAAAACTCAACAAATGCTGACTTTCACAACTGCTACAATAGGTCCAGAAAACTTTATAAGCAGCCTTCAACCCAGAAACCCCCTGCCATGAGTGAAACTCCCAAGTTCGGCTCATTTGATAATAAAAATCGAATCTGAAGCTACTTAACAGTTTTTATTGAATCTCATTGATGTACTAAATATTCTATTTACGCAGGTCTTTTCTCCCCTTTTTCGCAGCGTTGGGGATTGAACCCAGGTTCTCACAGGCCAGCCACAGATCCCGTACAAGTATTCATTTTGGAATTGGGCTGAGGTCGGGGAAATGCTGACTCTGCTGGGGTTAATCTTCGTCTTTCTAAGCTATAAGAACCCAGTTATCTCAATTCCCAACCATACTGGTCCTAGGGGTTGCAGGAGAAGGGATCGCATCACCCTTCCTCCCAGAACAAAACCACGTATGCAGTTCCAGGGTGTTCGGAAGCAAAGTTTTGCATCAGGGTCTCGGGGAGACACCTGTACACAAGTCTCTGTTCCTCCGGACCAGTGAGCACTGCTATACACAAAGGGCTCCGGGAACACTGCTGAAGGCCACCCCGGCAGTGAGGCTGGCTGGGGCTTTCAACCCCAACCCTCTCCAGGTGGGCACGTGTGTAGTCTTCCTCGCGCGCGGTCAGGCACGACTCGTAGTTTCCCAAGTAAAGGGAGGGGGGAGGAGAGGGAGAAATGCTGCGACTATTTACAAGCGATCACGCACAAAGCGAGCTCCCAGGAAGAATGTGACCCCCGCGTTGGTAGGTGAGTCGCCAGGAGAGCAAAAACTACGACCACCGAGAACGCTGTCACCTAATGGCTCCGCTCCCACGTCGGGGATGCTGGCGATGAATCCCTTCGGGCCTTTTCTATTAGGAATGAAGTGACGGGGTAGTGGCGGCGGGTGGGGGTGGGGGGGTCAGGGCCGAGGGGCGCGAGACCCGCGGCCCCGCAGGGCCCGAGGAACAAAGGGAGCCCGGGATCAGGCGGAGCGAACCGGCCTGGGAGCGGGTCGCGCCCGCCGGGCCCGGTGGGGGAGGGGAGGCCGGCGGCGCGCCCCGACTCTCGCCGGGCCTCGGGAGGCTCGAGCGCCGCGAGCCCGCCCGGCCGTCCCGACGGCCGACGGCAGCCCCGTCCGCGTGCGGCGGGGGACCCGGAGCCGCGGGGCCCTCGGCCCCCAAGCAGCGCGCGGCCCCCGGGAATGGAGTGAACTCCCGGCGCCTCCGCACCGCGCCCCACTCCCGCCAGTCCCGCGCCCTCCGCTCCGCAGACCCCTCCGCTACCCCGCCCGTGCCAAAGCAGCCTCACCTGGCAAGATCGGAGCCCGAGGCACAGCGCAGCAGCGGCGATGGCTCCGAGGGAAGGAGACGCCGAGGAACCGCGCGGCGGTCGCACTGACGGCAGCGGCGGAGGCAGCACCACAGCAGCGCGCGGCTCCTCCTGGCGCCGGAACAGGAAGCGCGTGAGCGCCGCCCCGCCCACTCGTGCCGGCCTGCCCGCCCGGCGGCGCGCGCCCGCGCTCTCCGCTCCTCGGCCGGCCGCGCGCGCCCCCAGCTGGTCCCCGGAGGGACTGCAAGCCCTGCTGTGTGGCTCTCGTCGCGCGCCGCGGTGGCCTGCCTGCCGGCAGAGCTGATGCGTTCTAATGTTTGGTTTTGAATAATGGTCTATTGCTAATGCCGGGCCCTCCAGTCCTTTCGCTCTCTCTTAAACATTTATTACGTAGGATCCCTAACACCCTTTCCATCTTCGTCCGCGATCTTTTTTCTCCCCCCACCCCCTTTTCAGGTCCCGGGGCTTGAACTCGGGGACCCGGCGCTGTCGCTGGGCCTTTGCGCTCAAAGCTAGCGCGCTACCCCTTGGGCCATAGGATTACAGGCGTCAGCCACTGGCGCCCGCCCAGCTCCGGGGTTTTCCGAGTCTCCGGTGGCCAGTGAGAGCAGACTCTGGATTCCTTCTGCTCCGCGGGTTCGCACCAGGTCTCAGCAGGCCGGGTGTCCTGTCAGGGGACCAGAGCCTCAGGCCAAACTTGAGAGTTAAGGCAAGCCGGGTGCTGGTAGCGCTCGCCTGTAATCCTAACTACTCCGGAGGCTGAGATCTGAACCTTCTGGTTCGAAGCCATCCCGGGCAGGAAAGTCTGTGATTCTTACCGCCAATAAATCACAGAAAAAGTCAAAAAATGATGTAATGGCTCAAAGGGTAGAGTGCAAGAGCTCAGGGGGCGAGCCCAGGCCGAACCCCACGACCAAACACCCGCCCCCCCAAAAAAAATCAATGCAAAGAAAGGAAGACTTTAAACAAGGATTTGATGGCAAGCCAATGATTGACATATGATTCTAGCCTTCAAGAAGACTGCTAGCTACTAAATAAAGTTATTTTATATAGTTAACAGAGTGGACTTTTGACTAGGAACTCTATTTAAACACACATGCTCCACCACATACATAATTTTCATATAGAAAAAAATAATAGTAAAGGAAACTTGGAATACCTAAGACCAAGACAGACCTATTTTTGGATTTGAATCTGGAAAATTACATTTATGTGGAACATCTGACCTCAAGAGGGGCAGGGAATGAGTAGTGCCTTTGGCAACAGGAAATGTCATATGGTCTGGCCTTGATTTAATATTTTGATATCTTCATCAGTTTTTGAAAAAACCCATCCAATTTTAGAATATTGCATGGAAATACTTTTTGGTTAAAAAAAATACGTTCAAGCAAAGTACCTTGTATCACCCTGGTCCTGCTCCTTTGGTGTCCAAGTAATGGGTAACCCATGCCACCAGCTAATAACTGAGTATGGTGGATGTTTTCCAGAGCGTTTTGTCTCCCATCTCATGTAGGCTTATCTACAGAAAAACTTCACTCTAACTACACTCCATCTCCATCTACACTTGTTCAAAATAACCCTGCCCAGTTCTAGCCTTTCCTAAGAGTCAGACCTGCAAGGTGCATCCACTTCCTGAACTTTCTGATCCCTCCCTTCTCTTCAACCTTGTTTCACATGTAAAAAATCTTGCACATCCAAACTTACCTTCGCCCCTACTTCTGGAAGATTCAAATGGATACATTAAGAACCACAAAATGTATTTCAGTTAAGAATACAGCTTTCTCATTATCTACTTTTCAAAGTTGAATGTGTGAGGCAAATGTATGTTTTTAAAACAAAACACAGGGCCTTTGGTTTCACATATGAAGATTTAATTAAGAAGTGAAAATTTATTCAGATCTAATGATTTAAACTCACACCCAAGAAGAAACATTTGATGGAGAAAAAAAGGTGGAAATAAATCTGCTTTGGGGAGTAGCAGTGGGTGACTGAGCAGAGAATAGCTTTGTGAAGTTAGAATCTCATTGTTCACACTTGACATATAATTGATCCAGTTGTAGCAGTAGTATAATTTGAGTAAACTTCCTTGAGTTCTACAGCATGGCCCTCAAGTCTGAAAGCTCAGATTTGATTACAAACATGACAAAATGGATCTTTATATCCTGTAATCAACTTTTAGGATGTTAGGCAAACATCAGCTTTATGAAGGGCAGGAGGAAATTGGAATTGTTCATCTAACTGCAGAGTCTGAACTGGAAGTTCAAATTGTATTGTTATTTCTAAAAGTGAATGTGACTCTACAGGATTTACCACGGAGAATACTACAAAATCCTAGCATTCCTTAAATTAGTACTGATCAGCTGGTACAGCAATTATTTTCAAGTATGCTCTAAGGGTCATCTGTTTAGGAAAGATAAATCCTCAGGAAACCACGTAACAAGTATTACCTACATTTTAAAGTCAATGAAGGAAAAGATAAAGGATTCAAGTAATCTCTTCAATAAGAAAATAGGATAAAATAGACTTTAGCTTGGAGTTTGAATTTGTGCCTTAAATTCCTTTTAATTTGGATAGCCATTAGTTTACATTTCTACTTGTAAGCCAATCTATTTTTAAAACTGCCTCCATTTATGTCCAATGTTTTAATGTTAGAATACCATCTGTAGACTTTTTTTTTTTTGGCCAGGGCCTGGGCACTGTCCCTCAGTTTCATTTGCTCAAGGCTAGCACTCTACCACTTGAGCCACAGTACTACTTCCAGCTTTTTCTATTTATGTGGTACTGAGGAATTGAACCCAGGGCTTCATGCATGCTAGGGGCAAGCACTCTACCACTAGGCCACATTCCCAGCCCATATACAGACTGTAGAACTCTAGAACTGTTCATTTCTAGTAGGCTATCAATAATGAAAACCGTTTTTGCTGTCTGTTCCTTAGAAATAAAAAATGAATGTAAAATTATATTTGACATAAACTAGCAAAGATACTTTCTCATAGGTTTGACATAAAATAATTTTTCATTTGAGCACTCAATCACTATCAGTCATTTTTAACATTATTTTGTATACAGAATGCCTTGTAATTAAGTCTATTTTCTGGTGAAATCTGCTTTTCTAAAAAACAACATAAAGCTGTTTATTGGATTCTGATTATAGCAAGAAGTGACAAATATTTTTAATGAAGAGTATGAGAGACCTCAGGGTTTTTGTCTCATAGGAAGTGCCTTATTACTTGGATCTATAAAATGATCCAAACTTCAGGGACAGGAAGTTGATGATTTAGCTTAATGGCTTTGGCTCATGAATAAATAATATTTTTTGTGTTTTTTAAAATAAAAAGAAATGTGATTTACATGATGATGAGTCCTATTTGCTGCACTTCTACTTTTTAAAATATTTCTAATTACTGATGTTTTTTATATTTTTTATAATAAGGAATCAAAACTCACTCTGACCACAGTCATTAGCTGAAATTCAGGAAAAAGTTTGATCACCAAATCAATAAGGCTAGCCACAAGCTGACTAAAAGCTTCCTTTAATCTTCCGATTAGATCTCCTTTAAATTAAACCATTCCCTCTATGAATTATTTAGGACCATGGCATGGTTATAGAAAGACCACTTACGACCCTTTATACAAAATGCTCAACAAGCCTAAAAAAATTCCATTCAGCATATTTCAAGAATCACGGTATGAATCAAGATGTTGCAGTTTTTTTTTTTTTTTTTTTTTTTAAAGGAGGTGAGAGGGGGAGGACTATGTCCTGAAAAACTGCAGAGTAAAACAGAAGTCATTTATTTCCTGATTAGCATGATTATTGAAGCACAGTTAAATATCTGGTCCAGACTAGCTATTAATGATTAAGTAGTTTCCTTTTACTGTCAAGCCTTTTGAGGTCATGCCTAAATTTTAATATTTTATCTTGTTTCTTTTCAGCTCTATTTTCTTACCAATAAGCCCCACACATTTCCATCATGCTGAATGCTTTCTGGACTGAATTTATCCTTTTCAAATGTTCAACTTACAAAGTCACAAACTTTCTATTTAGATTTCTATCTCCTTACACTTCTCAAAACTTGTTTTAAATAGTTTAATAAGTATATTTTACACATTTTTATGAATTTTTGAAAACTGATGTTCTTCCAACTGCATTCTCACAAAAACAAAGGAGGAAGATAACCACTTTAGGTCCCAAACTCCTCATGATAAAAAAAATTGCCATGTGGAGTGGCTACTCAGGAGGCTGAGATCTGAGGGTTGAAGTTTGAAGCTAGCCTGGCCAAGAAAGTCTATGAGACTCTCATCCCCAATAAATCACAAAAAAGCCAGAAGCGGCACAATGGCTCAAGTGCTACAGTGCTAGCCTTGACCAAAAAGGAGCCCAGAAACAGTACCAGAGTTCAAGTCCCATGATTGACAAAAAAAACTTTTCCCTTCAAGATAAATAATCCCCTTCTCAAGCCTTTATAATTTCTACTTCCCAAACTGCAGCAAACACCAAAGAAAAAATACAAAGGAGTCTCTTTCCTGTTCTCATTTAATGGATGCTACAATGCTACACATGGCAACAGTTTAAAAATGTTAATACCTTGAAATTGAAAAAAATTGACAAGCTAGAGAAAATATATCACAGGCAGTCAGTTTGAATCGTATGAAAACCTACTTATATCTTGACTTTCATATAAACACTAATATTTAACATTATAAAAGATAACATAATTATATATTTTTTAAAAACTACCCTTAAACAGAATATTCATAAGCTAGTCATCCCATAGATATTTCTACACTGATTAAAAAGTTAGTTCCAAAAGAAAAGTATTTAAAATAATTGTTTCATAGAAACAGAAAGTCTTATCAAATTCTGGTTAAAAAAACAACAACAAACAAACCTATACTCATGGGTGGGTAATCTTTACCACACTATTTTTCTTTCACCAAAGACGGGTATTTAGGAAGTGTTACACTAGTTAATATGATGAACATCTCAGTAATCTACAAAAGAGCCACAAGAAAGGTGAGGTAGTGTAAGACTTGTCTGCCTTCGTAAAAGGTAACTAGCATCTTCAGAAGATATTTATCCTCACATGGGTATTATAATGTACCGAGCCTG